CTCCAGAGAGGTAGGAGCATAGGAGCAGAGTATTAGTAAGGGAGAAAGGGGGGAAAATGGGGACACCTTAAGTGGGAAAACCACTTAAGTGAGACAATGTGAGAGATAAACAATGTCTAGCTACTTTTGAAAACCAGAAGGAACCATACTACTCCTACACCCTACTGACAAATTATACATAGCAGATCAAGAAATATATGTCTAGGTAAGGTTTATCTGAGAACAACTGGTGTTTTCTCAAGATTTATCTGCATGACATACAGTAGTTAAAAATACCAGACTGGTGGAACTAACCTTCTTGGGTGTTTAACAGGCATACTTTGAGGCCTATAATAATTTGGACAGAGGGACATAAAGGACACTTCTTGCTTCTTGCCATCCTAGATAAATTAGTTCCAGGGGCCTATGAGCATCTCTCAAAATGTCCTGTAATGGTAGTGGGTCACCTGTCCTCTTGATCAAGGAGGCTGAGGAGACCCCACCAGATGGACTTGAATCAGTGTCCAGTCTACAATTTGGAGGGCCAACACAGAGGAATCATTTCCTCCATGCTTCCAAGTGAAGACAACCATGGTCGAGCAGGACCTTTGACTTATCTTCACATAGGCAGAACTGGCAAAAGAAAGGAGCCAGGGGCTCCTCCCAAGCCCAGGTGACCCCTGAGGAACAGATCCTCAAAGGACCTTAAGAGTAAAAATAAATCGGTTTATCTGGTCCAACTGTATGGCCTTAAACACCCAAAAGGAAAGTATAACCAAAGATTAAAGGGGTCAATATAATTTCTTAAGAGTCCATATGTATAGCTAAAGGTTACATAACAAGCAACAATGCCAGACAGGGGATACCTTCTTTTGAGTTGTTGGTCAGGATGGCCAAAGGGACTCCCAGATTGTAACCCAGCACAGAATTTGGAAAATGAACAGCAGACCCCAATCTTATCTAAAGGAATATTGATAGCTGATTACTGATAGATGAGGAATGGCTGACCCTCCTAAAACAAAGACCTCTAGATAGGCTGACTAGATTCCCAGAAGGGCAAGTAGTGGGGAATGGCTGGGGGTGCCAACAACACAGCAGACAGTAGCAGGGATATCAGAGTATAAGGGCTCTACTCCGGGGAGGAGGGCTATGGGAGGGTGCTATCTGGTAAATGGGTGTATAGTCGAATGAGATGGTTTGGTATGTTCTGTGTGATACACACACACACAAAAAAAAATCAACAAATTTTTAAAAAATATATTGTATTTGAGGAGGAAGCATGTAACTTTACATCATGCTAATTAGTAGAGGTGATAAACAATACCACTGAAATCTGCCCAATGACTTTATAGACATACACTGGTGTCAAGTATCCAAGTGCAACCGATTATGACCAGTAATAATCAGATACATACATATTAGAGATGGAAGTCTTTCTGCAAGGAACAATATATTCTAAAATGAAATGGAGATCTTTTTTAAAGGTTAAAAACTCATCCAATTCTATGTCTTACAGAGGTTATACTGAGTTCAATAATATAAAACTATATTAATTCAACTTTGAACCTAAAAACTTTCACCCACTTGTGACAGAGATGTACCTTTGCTCTGGAGTGTGTTAGTGAATATTTTAAAGCTGTAGTGAAAAGCTTCTAATCATATAGTTATTAAAAATTTAAAAAGTATAATGATTAAAAAAAAAGAGTACCATTATTTTGGTGGGAGAAAAATTGTG